CCCCAGATGCACTCACTCCTGAATTGGCGATTCTGTACTTTGGGGGTAATCGCCCAGTCCTCAAGGTTTTCTTCTGCGGTCACTCCAACACTCAGCTTTCATAGCCACCAATGCGACACGCAGACCCCTGCACTCAGGCCAACCCATTGCACAAGCACATGGGTTGGGGATCTGTGGATACAAGCTCCCCATGTGGCCTCTCTTGGGTCCTCTCTCTGGCTGTGGGCTCCCCCACAAGCCACATTCCCCACTCGTCATGGGGACGCCAGCAGAAGACGAGTAGAAGCAGAGAAGCATGAAGAACCATGAGAGCAGCAGAGATCACCAGAGAGCCCAGAAAGAGGAAAGACTTGCTGGGGGCTGGGAGGCCTGCCAGCCTCCCGGCCCCTCAGCATCCCTGCCTGCTGTGTACCTGATAAATCCCAATAAAAGCCTGCAAAAGCCACTGAGGGCTCAGAACTCTCTCTTTATTCGGTCAGCTGCTGGATCAGAAAACCTGCCCTGTGTCCATTCCTGCCCTTACAAGTTCCTTTTCATTAAAGTCTCATATGTTTTGTGCTGATGCGACGGATGGCAGAACCTATTTAGAGCAGGCAGGTTTGCGGGCTCTGGGGTGCCCTGCTCCCTGCCCTGTAACAGAACCACAATCTCACTGCTTCCTTTTCATTGTAATCAATTGCAAGTCAATGACCGTAAGTAGCCAGTAACCCATCCAGCCTTTTTCTTGCTCAGGTAGCGCTCCCCGTCTCAGAGCTTCCCCTCTGAATCCCTGTCTTTCAAGTGTCTTCCTACGTCACTGGCAATTTGATAGTCTCCTTCCCTTGCTATGGGGACAAGATTTCCTCTCCTTGGTTAATAAGTGGGCCCAAGCCTTTAACTTGAGGTTCAACTCTAAAGGTTCTTGTTATAGCTGCCTTACCTTCAAGATTTGTGAGGGACAAAGACAAATCCAGTCAGCTATCTTAGATCTTAGTGTCAGAGCTAGGTCTCTTGGTCCTGCATTGTAACTCATCTTAAATGCCACAGGGATTTCTTGTTAAATGGTAGTAAGATCAGCCATATGTGGGCCAAATGCAAGCTATCCTTCTTAAATAGGAATTCAGAGGCAGCCTTCCTTCCACCCAGAGAAGAGGGAAAGCCACGGACAGATAGGATGTCGAGGCCTGGGGATGCTCAGGTCTAGGGGAGTTCCTCCTCAATGCGGGGACATCCACAAAAATAGGATTACTCCCCTGGGGCACACCTGTGGCTGTCCCCACTCTGGGGGTATGCCCATGGCTGCCCCCACTGTAATCTGTCCATGACAGGTTCAGGCTCTTTGAGGCACTCATCCATGATGGGGTCTGCTTCCTCCATTCCTGTGGACTTTCCTCTGAGTTCTCCCTTAAAAGACACTTGCATATGGCCTCCCTGGTGGTTCAGGCAGTTGAGCACCGCACTGTGAGGCTGTCTGTAGCCTCTGCAGTGCAGGTTTGATCCCGGCCGGCCAGTGAGCATCCCATATGGCAAAGCAGACCTCTCCTATCTCGCCCGCTGCTCCCCTCAGCCAAGTATTTCGTCAGTCTGCCTGTTCTGTTCCCTGCTCTGTCTGGTGAAATCTCTTACCCTCCCGCACATCTGGCCTTGTAAAGGGCTGGACAGGACACAGTGCAGGTTTTCTGATCCAGCAGACCGGGTGAAGGAGGAGTCAGAGTTCTCAGTGGTTTTGCAGGTTTTTATTGGGATTACAAGGTACACGGCAGGCAGGGGCGCTGGGGGACTGGTAGGCTGGCAGGCCTCCCAGCCCCCAGCAGGTCTTCACTCTGGGCTCTCCGGCCTTCTCTTGGCTTCTCTTTCGGCTTCTGCTGCTGCTGCTGGCATCGCCGTGACGCCACCCTTAAAAGCCCAGTCTTAGCCCAGGTGAACCCCATCTACCTATGCCCACACCCTACTCCAGGTGCCCGCCATCAGGCATGCATTCAGGACCACAAGGATCCATCATCTATTCTGATGGTGGGAGGGCAGAAAAGCCTGACATTTTTCCTTACCCTACAGGCCTGTACCCCAGTTCTGGTATAAAAATAAATAAATCTTAAAAAAAAGAAGACATTTGCATAGACACAAGCAGGCAGAAGAGCTGCCCCAAAAGGGACAGGTTTGCTGAGAGAGGCCTGCATGGTTGCAGGCTGGTGGCATTGAGGAGAGCTGCCTCCACTGAGGGAGGTCAATGAGGAAAAGTCATGGCATGGTACAGGTCACGGGAAGGCAGGAAGGCTGTTGCCCTGCAGAGGGACAGGGTTGGTGAAAAGAAGCACCTGCATAGTCACAGGTGGGCAGACAGAGTGCTGCCCCTTTGTGGGGGAAGTGTTAGGTTTTATAATCTTCAGGGAGGGGCTAATCTTTGTGGGTGGTTGGTCTGTGCCCCCCTATAGCAGTCTGATAGTTTCTGGGTGTTGTGCCCCCCAATCTGGGTGTTGATGCTTAAGGGTCTTGATTTCCGTAACTGGGTAAATGGATTGTGCTAATCCCTTCTGCCCTCACCTCCTTGTATGAGTTAGGTTGTTGGACTGTATCTCCTTTCCTCCATCAATAGGATTATTGAGCCAATGGAAAAAAAAAAAAAAAAAACAGGTCTCTGCTCTCTGCCAGTTGAGCAGCAGTACCCTGTCTTTCACCAACTACTCCAAGACTCCTGTCATTTATTCAGCATGACACAACATGTATGTCTTTGGAGACTTCAATATCCCCATGCTAATGGGCAAATTAGTGTGAGAGAAAATAAATAAGGCCATATTTGCCCTAAACAAAGAACTAGACCAGGTGGCTCCAATAGACATTTGCAGGGCACTACACCCCCCGCCCCCCCAAATAAGCTGAGTACACATTTTCCTCAAGTGCCCATGGGTTATTCTCCAGAATCTACTACTGACTGGGTCACAAGACAAACATCAACAAATTCATGCAGACAGAAGCCATATCAACTATCTTATCTGACCATAAAGGTATCGAACTACAAATCAACCACAAAAAGAAAAGAAGGGATCACATTCATACTTGGAGACTGAGCAATACACTACTTAACAACCACTGAGTTAATGAAGAAATCAAGGAAGAAATTAAAACACATGGGTCTCCCTGGTGGCGCAGCGGTTGCGCACTGGGTTGCGAAGTTGCCTGCAGCCCCTGCAGCGCCGGTTCGATCCTCGGCCACCGGGTGAGGGTCCCACATGGTGCACAGACCTCTCCTGCGGCCCGCTGCTCCCCGCAGCAGTGTACTTCTCAGTCTGCCTGTTCTGTTCTCCGCTCTGGCTCTGGTGAATTCGCTCACCCTCCCGCACTTCTGGCTGTTCCCAGTGCTTGTATAAATAAATAAATCTTAAATAAATAAATATATATATATATATGGTTAAAAAAGAGAAATTAAAAAACAACTAGAGGCAAATGATAATGAGGACACAACATTCCAGAATGTATGGGACAGAGCAAAAACAGTTCTAAAAGGGAAGTATACTGCAATATAGGCCTAATAAACTAGAAAGAGCCCAAACAAACAACCTTGTTCTTCATCTCAAGAAAGAATAAAATATCCAAAAGCCAGTAGAAGGAAGGAAGTGATAAAACAGAAAGCAGAAATAAAATGAAATGGAAATCAAGAAACCCAAAAGACTGATGAAACAAAAAGCTGGTTCTTCGAAAAAATAAAAGAAGCAAACCTTTAGCAAGGCTCACTAAGACAAAGAGGAAGAAACCTCCAAAATGAAAGAGAAGTTACAACAGACACTGCAGAAATTCAGAGCATAATAAGAGATTACTCTAAACATTTATATGCAAACAAATTCAACAAACCAGACAAAATGGACAATCATCCAAGAATAGAATTATACAATCATCCAAGACTGAATAGGAAAAATAGAAAACCTGGACAAACCAATCACAAGCAAGGAAACTGAAACAGTAATCAAAACTCTCCTAAACAACAAAAGCGCAGGACCAGATGACTTCACAAGTGAGTTCTACCAAACCTTCAAAGATGAACTGGTACCTACCATGCTCATCCTCTTTCAAAAAATTAAGAAATAATTCTTCCAAACACATTTTATGAGACCAACATTACATTAACACCAAAACCAAAGAAAACACAAAGAAAGAAAACTACAGATCAATCTCCCTAATGAACATACATGCAAAAATCCTCAATAAAATCTTAGCATTCCAAATCCAACAATGCATTAAAATGATTATACACCATGACCAAGTGAGATTTATACCAGGAACACAAGGATAGTTCAACGTTGAAAATCAATGTAATACACCACATCGACAAAAAGAAGAAAAGGAAAAAAAACACATGATCATGTCAATCGATGCTGAGAAAGCATTTGATAAGAGTCATCATCCATTTTTGAGGATAACCCTTGAAAAACCTGTGATAAATGGAAGATATCATCACATAATAAAAGCCATATATGACAAACCTACAGTCAATATCATGCTTAATGGTGAGAAATTTAAACTTAAACTTCCCTTTAAGATTTAGAACAAAACAAGGATGTCCATTTTCACCACTACTTTTCAATACATTACAATTCCTAGACAGAGTAACTGGGCAAGAGAAATCAATAAAAAATCCAAATTGTGAAAGAAATAATGCTTTGATTATTTGTAGTTGATGGGATAATATACATAGAGAACCCCTAAGACTCCATGGTAAAACTAATTGAAATCATAAGCAGTGTTGTAAAACAACATTGCCTCAATAAAGGATAATGCAATCTAAAAAAAGGAAAAAGATCATAAATTGTGATTTCATGCATTTGATGTGTACTTATGTGTCCACTACATGCAGATATCATCAGAAGAAGAATCAGAATCCTTCCAGAAAACATGTGATTTCTAGAGATTCTCTTTGAAGATTGGCACAGCTTAAAATGTATTTTTTCACTTAATGGGAGATTAAGAACTTCATTTCTAGAACTAGAAAATTTAATTCTAATTAATAAGAAAACAAAATGTTTACGTATTTCTTCTCTTTATTTTCTAAAAGATCAAAACATTTACACCAAGACTATACCAACCCCAAAGAGAAGATAGTTCCCTCAATTAAGTATAACAAACTGTAAGATAAGCTAGAAACCAGAAGAAACAGAAGAGCCAAAAGTTCATAACCCAAGATAAATCTGTTGAGACCTGAAAGACAATTCACTTTGCATTACCAACGAATACAGCAGTGCTACATTAAAGATCAGATACCACTTACCTAAACTTAAAAGGATGGGTTGATTTCTTTCAGTGAAAGTGCGTGTAGAACTGGATTAATTATGCTAAGCAACATAAGTGACAGACAAAACAAATACCAGCAATTTGATTCCCTGGTATGTGGACTACAGAAAAAACAAAGGAAAAGATAAAACTGAACCAAAACAAACCCTGGAGACTGGACTTCAGAAAGGAGGCTACCAAAGGGGAAGGGAACCACTGACTGGTGGAGGACTGAGGATGCCTTGGTGTTGTGTCTTTTGTAATTTTAGACGGCTGGGATTTTAGATGGTGTGGTGTGGAAACATACATCTGGAGAGGCGTGAACCCGTACTCCTGAATCATATACAATGTTGGAAACCGTTACTTGCATAAAAAAATTAATTTTCTTTCAGTTCCTCATAAAAATCACTTTTAAGAAATTCAGGAAAGCATGAGCATTGTTTTTTATTACCTGGCTTTCTTAATTTACATTTTTAAAAAAGTATTTTCATCCAATTTTATGGTATAAAATTCCTGCTCTCACTCAACCTCACAATATCTGTCAGGTTTTTATAACAATTTCTCTCATTTTGATTCTTTTTCGATCTCTTTCATGATTATAAGATAACACTAGATGAGTTCACTTATCTGTAGAATTTAATAAAGAAACAAAGTAAGAGAACAAACCAAAATGAACCCTTAAACTGTGGCTGTAGAACTCAGGCTACCAGAGGGGCAGAAAGGAAGTGAAATGCAGATGAGGCCCAGTGAATATGGTGCAGGATTATAGAGGCTTTACTGGTGGGTGTGGTATAACTTATATTTTTTGAGGTGTGAAACTATATCTCTAAAATATATACAGTGTTATAAATCAAATTTACCCCAGTAAACATTAAAAAATGAATTAATAAATTCAGCTTCTTTCAAGAAAGAAAGAGTAAACCATTGGGGCAATAATTCATGAATGAACGCCACACAGAGATAAAAAATGGAAACTAAATTCAGAGCAGAAAATTTCACAAGAGCACACATTACCTTAGTTTCAAAATCTATGCTTTCGGATAATGTAGCACATGAATCCTCAAAGTTTAGTTTCATGGGACGCCTTTAGAGATAAAATATACAATACAAATTTCATTTCAACATTGAAGAATCAAGTAAAACTTTGCTACCTACCTATATTAATTTTCTTTATATAATTCAAATTTGGGGTCAGTTTAAAAAAAAAAAAAACAACTTTTGTTTCTATTTCTGCCTCTATTTCCCCCAACCTGTGAAATATCCAATAAAATTCCATTCTTAGTGCCCATAACAAAACATTACAGCTTCTGAGGAAAAAACGTAGTTCTCACAAAAATTACTGAAGCTTAAATTGAAAATCCAATTAATAGATGGCATAACTTTTATTATCTGAACTACAATAAATCTGATGACCTAAAAGAAGAAAGATATACTGTTTCTTCTTCATAACCTGTCCTTGGTTCAAAGACCAATCTATGTCAGTCAAAAATAGCAGTCTTGTTCCTTCAGCATGCAAACCACTTATTAGGATTCATTCCTTCCCTTTACTCTAAAATTATATAGGGAGTTCCCTAAAATGTTTGAAAACTAAATGTACTGAAGTCAAAGAATAATTAACTAATTCCAGAGGAATTGAAACATTAAAAATTATGAATTCTGATTATTTTTCCTATTTAGGTCCTGCCTTTCAGGTCCCCATAAACTGGCAAGCCTTTAAAAATGTTCATAAGTACTCAGATACCCAAGGGGAGAGACTACTGCAGCAAAGACAATGTCCTGAGTTCTGCCATTATTTCCCTTACATACAATTTAAATATCTCCCTTACTACTCCCTTTACTAAATATCTCCCTTACTACTCCCATTACTACTACTCCCTTATTACTCCCATTCCCCCACATCGACCAGGCTCAATGGCAGTCTCCAACCTCTAAATCTTCAACCTATGAAGGCACAGATTCCAGAAACAAGGCTGAGCTCAAATGACCAAGAGCAGGTCATTTCCCTGCTGCTGGAAAATAAGCTCAACAGAGCTTATGCTCTCACTACCAACATAGGCCTGTGACCAAGCAGCCAGATGAGGCACTGTGACTGACCTGACAGTCATCCTAGCTCCATGCAACCCTGCCAGCACATGGACAGGGACATTGGTGAATTGGAAAGAGAGGCCGAGACTAAGAAACACCTGCCTTAGGTGAAAGATCTATGTAGGTTAGTAATCTCAACTACCGTAGTTGGTGTGGGAGATCTAAGGCAGCTTCTCTAACTTGGGGTGGAGGAGGATATCACAATCTTATTTTCTATAAAGAGACACTTCCCAGTGGCTCATATTGGTTTTATGTGTTTTGATACAAATGAAGTATGCTAGTTCCCTCAATTCAACAAACAAAAAAGCAGCAAACTATTTAAGTCTCCGCTAAACTTTCTATTTAATATGCCTCTACTTAATATTCCCAACTTGCTTGTTCCTGTAGTTTCTCTTTATATAACTTGCATAAACCCCAATATTTTGTAACTCTTTTCTAAAACCCTTATTCCTATCAACTCGATGGTGGTGTTCTTGAAGTTTGGCCGCCTCTGCTAATTCATTCTTATCTTCTTCCATTGCGTTCACTAGACCCAATTCCCACCCCTCTATTTTTTTTTTTAAAAAAAAGATGAGTAGGATTTAATCAATTAGATGAGGATAGGTAGATTCAGGCATTCAAAGGGTATGGTCTATTGACAATATTTCCATAACATTATTTTTTTATGTTCTTATAATAAATTTTATTTTTATATTCCCCATACAATTGCAACCCCCCCATTCTGACCCTAATCCCTCCCCTCCCGACCCCCACCCCCCAAAAAGTGTCTCTGGTTCATAGTTTTTTGTTGATTTTGATTTTCACTTTCTTATCGTTATTCATTTTCCTGGTCCCTTATTTAAGTTTTCTAGATTCCTGCTATGAGTGAGACCATCCGGTATTTTTCTTTTCCTTTTTGGCTTATTTCACTGAGCATGATCCCTTCCAGTGCCATCCATGTTGCTGCAAATTGCATGTGTTTATCTTTTTTGAATGCTGAGTAATATTCCATGGTATATATGTTCCACATCTTCTTGATCCAGTCATCTATTTTTGGGCATTTGGGCTGTTTCCAAAGCTTAGCTATTGTAAACAGTGCTGCTATAAACATAGGTGTGCAGGTGTTCTTTGGAATTGATGTTTCTGTGTCCTTTGGGTAAATACCTAGGAGTGGAATTGCTGGATCATATGGAAGCTCTATGTTTAGTAGGTCCAGAAATCTCCACACAGCTCTCCATAGTGGTTGGACCAGTTTGCACTCCCACCAGCAGTGCAGAAGTGTTCCTTTTTCTCCACACCCTCGCCAACATTTGTTGTTGCTAGTTTTTTTAATATGTGCCATTCTCACTCCACCCCTCTATTCTTAAAAACTCACCTGGAGACAATCTCTTTTCAAAAGGAAAAATCTGAATTTAAATCTCATTTTTGCCATATGCCATACCCAAAGAAATCAGTTTAATCTCTTTGAATTTCAAATTATTCATTTGAACAGTTATTTGGCTTAGAAGACAAACATTGGCTGAAGTACTACAGGGTGTTTTGAGTGACTGAATCTCTAAGATTCTTTAAAATTCTGAAATTCTACATGCTTTTTATTTTGTTATAGAAAAATGGAGACTAACTCCTGGTAGAAGTAGAAAAAAATAGAACAAAACAATCATCAAGAACAGCAGAGAAGAAAGGCAAAAAAAAAAATCAAGAAAAGCCTACAGAACTTATAGAAAGTCATGGAAGAAGAATAAAAAAGGTACACCAAAAATGAAAAAAAATACAGAGTACTAGCCAAGGCTACTAGCCTAATGATTATACCAGACTGTGAAGTCATAAAGTATAGAAATCAATGAGAAATATCCTCTAAATAGATGCTGAGGTTAACATAAGATGTTCTATAAACCACAGATCATCTTCAACTAAAGAAGAACAATTTATCTCAAGGACCATAAAATATCTCTACACCTAAGAAGACCTGCATGATTGAGTGTTGCTGATGTAAAACCTGCAGTCTATGACCATAGCTGAGATCTACCCTAAAACTTTTGATGGTAAGTGCAAAGTTTTAGTTACCACTGCCATTGTTAAATGTATTGGGACAAATGCCTGGACTAAGCCAGTTTCTTAGGGAAACCTGAAAATAAAAATTAGCACATAACTAAATTGAACTTTCTGAGTTGTTTGAGTTGGGTCTATATATTCATGCCAGAGCTACACAAGCACCTAGGGACAAGAGAGTGGACAGGGAAGCCAGGCAGGCTAATGGTCAAGTCATGGAGCAAATACCTTCTTAACCATGGAATTGTGGGTGAACTAAGTTTGCCTTACAAACTATCTAATTTGTAAGGCATTATTGTCACATGCGATGCTTCCAGAAGCTGTTGCCTAATTGGTAAAAAGTGGGCTGTAACAGCAGTTACTTTGCAAAGCTATTCAAATAACTATATGAGATAACAAATGTGAAGCACATAACACAGTGTCTAGCCTGGAATAAAACACGCAACAAATGTTGACTGCTTTTCTCTGCATTCCATCAATTAAGACATTTTTAAAATCTGTAAAATCCTACCTCTTTTCAGTATCCTTGTGAGCATTCATTTTTGCTATTAAAGAAAAAAACATTTTAATCAACAGTAGATAACATAGAATATTAAATGTAGAAGACAGCTAACAAATATTCCTTAGGGACCAACTTGGAGACAATGCTCCCCCCTCCTTTATATTTTTCAAAAGCAAGATATTTGATATCACTTATCAAAATATATTTACTGACCTTTGGTACCAACAGTGAACTGTTATTTACAGTGACCATAATTCTAGTCAAACCTATAAAACTGACACAAAATGGTATCATCAGCAGAATCAGCATCATAAACTGACATTGTCAAACCTACATAACACGATTCTTCTGGATAGCCACCATTAGAAATACTTAGAGGAGAGTAAAATAATTTTGCTGTGACATAACACAACTTCTCCAGGTTTTTAGTCAACACCGCTTGGTTTACGATGAAACATGGACTGTGATGGAGGACTATGGGTGCTTTGGTGGCAGGAAAACTATAGTGACATCTTTGAGAAGAAAGCCTCAAATCCTTTGAGAAAACAAACAAGGATGTAAAATAATGATATGTCGTCAATTTAAAAAACCAAGGAAACTTGGTCCAGAGACAATATACAATGCAGCAGGAAAAACAGGAAACACTTTTACTGTGTTCATACTTACCGCAAGCTAAGTATGAAAGACTGTGACTCTAGTTTGATAAAGTACAGCCTGTGGAGACTATCTCCTTCCATAAATAGTCTCTCTGGATATACTTCATAGAGTAGGATGGTTCAGTTAATGCTGCATAGTAGTGAATGATGTCATTTTTCTCAACCCTCCCCATTATGCATTCAACATTTATAGAAATCAGGATTTTTAGTTTGTAAGGCATTACTGTCACATGCTATGCTTATGAACAGTGGCAAAAACCATAAAGAACAAAGAACATCTTGAATGAGAACATTTTAAGCATTCAAGATATAAGCTGTATGATACCATCTATATGAAATTTTGACAAAGGCATAACTATGGAGACAGTAAAAAGATCAGTGGTTTCTGGGGTTTAGAAAGAAGGGAGAGATGAGCAGATAGAACACAGAGGATGTTTAGAGCAATGCAACTATTCTGTATTCTGTACAATGCTACAATTATAGATCCATGTCAATATACCTTTTTCAAAATCCATAAAATACGCAACACCAAGAGTGAACCCTAGTGTAAATTATGACTTCTGGGTGACAATGATGAGTCAGTGTAGACTCACACATTTTAATAAAGGTACAATTGTGGTGCAAGATGTCAACAGCACATTTGGCTGCACATGTGTGGGAGCCAGGATATACAGGCACTCTGTACTTTCTGCTCAGTTTTGCTGTAAACCTAAAACTTCTCTAAAGACTTACTTTTTCAAAGGGTTTCCTCTGACCTGCTATTACCACATAATAATTTATCAAGGCACAGTCACTTTAAACATGAAAATAAAGTAAGCAAATACGGATATTATCTCCCTAGCTGATGTACATGATTATATATAAAATAACCTCTTTTAATTTTAAACTTAAGAGGCAAAATCTGATAAACATCTTTGACTATGCTATTTTATAATTGCAATGGGGTTTAGCATAATAAGAATCAAATTAGATCATCTACCTAATAAGCAATTTCATTTTAATTTTAAATCAGAACTCACTATGCTTATTTTGTCTCAGAGTTATCCTGAAAGAGTAAGAACATATAAAGAACACATTGTAATTACTTATACTAACCACAGTAATTTATGTATAAATACCTTTAAGTACCCATCAAAAATCAAAAATGTAAGCAGCACTGTAATTTAATGTGGGTAGTGCAACTGAAACAAATACCATGTTATAACATCATATTACCTATTAAAATAAAATTTTTAAGATAAAGCCATACATTAAGGTTAGCGTTAACTACTATGTAGAAAGATTTCATACAGTGAGCCTGAGACATCTCTCCTTAGAAATTCCTGCTTGAAATGGCTGACACTTGGTGAGTGTCTGGGAAAGTAGATTTGGGGAAGGTTCCCTCTACTTCCCAACTGCTAAATTATGTGTACAAACAATGTGGTTTCTGCTGAACACTTGCTTTCTTTCTGGGCATGTGGAATTTCAGTACATGCTAGGGAGAGGATGTCTAGGCTGCAGCAAAACCCTGGAGCACTAGGTCTTCTGAGACACGGGGCTGGCAGACACCACTTTACATGTGCTGTCATATTTTGAGATGGAGGAACTAGGCACATTCTGAGAATGCCACAGGGAAAAGACGCTTACAAGCTTGCACCTGTTTTCCTTCAGACTTTGCCCAAGACATCTTTCCACTTTGCTGATTTTTTTCTTGCATCCTTTCACTATAATAAATCACAAGCATGAGGCCTCCCGAGCGGCGCAGTGGGTTGAGTGTAGCACTGTGAAGCTGTCGGCAGCCTCTGCAGAGCGGGTTCCATTCCCAGCTGGCCAGGGACATACCCACCCTGGCTGGCCAGCGAGATACCCACATGGCGCAGCAGACCTCTCCTACCTCTCCTGCTGCTCCCCTCAGCAGTGTATTTCAGTAGATCTGCCTGTTCCTCTCCCCATTCTCTACGGTGAATCCTCTCAAACCCTGCACCTCTGGCCTGTACTCCAGTTCTTGTATAAATAAAATTAATAGGCCTCCCCGGTGGGGCAGTGGTTGAGCGCTGGCCTGCAAAGCATCACCCAGCCTCTGCAGTGCCGATTCTATCCCCAGCCGTTGGGGAGCATCCCACATGGTGCGCAGACCTCTCCTGCTGCGCCAGCTGCCCCCTCAGCAGTGTACTTTGTCGTTCTGCCTGTTCTGCTCCCCACCCTGGCTCTGGTGAATTCTCTCACCCTTCTGAGTGTACCCAGTGCTTGTATAAATAAATAAATAAATAAATAAATAAATAAATAAATCTTTAAAAAAAAACATTTTAAAACAAGTCCTATTTGTTTTGGTTTTTGTTTTGTTTTGTTTTGTTTTTTTTGCTTTTTTTCTTTATAATCACTTTCTTGTAGAAGTCCTATTTGTTTTAATGTGATTAGAGAAAATATATAAAAACTTAAATTTTTAGAACTTTTTTTAGAAAGGCAATACTGTCTCAGATTTCAAATGACTACAAGTAATTTCTTTAATTCTGAGAAGAAAACCATTAAGAAATTTTAAATATATATGCAATTTGTACACCTCTTTCATTGCTCTTTCATTATCAAAATTCCTGTATTCTTATTTTTTCCTCTGTGGTAGCACCACCAAGAGTAATTCACTATCTGAAGTCTTACCTAGATCATTCTCTTCCTTCTTTTTATCGTTTTTCTTCTTTTCTTCTTTTCTGTTCTTTTCATTCTTTTTGTTCTCTTTGTCCTTTTTACTTTTATAGGCAAGTATAATTTTCTGATTCCTGTATGTAAAGAAAGGTAATTAATAAAATTGCTAATTTTAATACTTATGTGAACAACATTTTTATTCTTACAATATTTCAGGTAGTAACAGATAATATCAAAACTTTAATGATCCCATATACTTCAAATGTGTTAAGTGCTACAATTTGTTTTTAATCAAACAGGCAACTTAAAGATGAAAAGGGGCTGTAGAGTGCAGTAATTAGAGTTAGCTAAAAATATGGAAAGCATCTGTATGTCAAGTTTCAAATAGCCATTAGATCCTGGACAAACCACTTCCCTTTGGCTCCCTTTTCCCCTGTAAAACAGTTACCTGGCTTTCCCATTCACAGAGTTATTAGGATATTTAATATACCCACCACACCCCAAAAACAAAAACAAAACCAAACAAACAAACAAAAAAAAAACTAATGCACAGAGAAATACTGAAGCAATGGAATAATTTCTTTCCGAATTTTACTGGTAGAACCTGGGATACCAAACTCAATTAAATTTGTGCTTTTTTATAGGATCTAACAGCCAAATGTTATATTTTGGCTAGTAATGGCTCTTCCCTTGGGGCTTAGAATTCATCTCAGCTACTACAGATTTTGTAACTATATTTATAAATATATTACTTCATTAGATAATATAATTGTCCCCTGTAATTGTAACCAATCACATGAAGAACAGAAAACTAAAAAGTTAAGCCTGGTTTTGACTAGTTCTATTCCTTCTCTACTTCTTAAAACTCATAATTAGTAGATCATCATTAGAATGATGTGTAATCCCCAGGTTCATATCCAATTGACCTGGAAGACAACCTGTTTTTATAATACATGGAAACTGAAGAGTCAAAGATGGGGTTTAGCTTTCCTAACAAACAACTAACCATTCTATTGAATTACCTCCTTGTAAAGTAGAACCTGAAAAAAAAATTGAAACTTCTCATAGACACAAATCACTTGGGGGGTTTTCACTATTATGAAAAACAGATTATTTGAGGGATCAACCTTAATGAACCTCAGACCAGTTAGTACCCACTACTCTGGGAAGGACAATATGGCACTTTCCACAACCTAAAAAATGTTTCCCACAGGATGTAAAGCAGCTTTGGGGTACAGATCTGGTACCAAAAGAGAAAGGATAATCATTACTTTCTGCATGACTCTTCAACTTCTCTGATAGCTGAGATTGGGTCCAAATAACATCTGCTAACAAAAAAGACAGACAAGATCCTCAAAGGGTAATTCATGGTCAAGGTGTAGGCTAAGATATGGGTTCTACAGTTTTTGAGTAGGGAATTAGGGTGTGTGTGGCTAAAGCTTGGAGGTGCTGCTGCAAGAACATAGTGGCTGAGCATATGACTATATGTATATGAACTAAAGAAAGTAGTGACATTGAAGTCCTAGTGGAAATCACCATGGAGACGGAGGAATCTGGATCAGCAGAGGCATCCTGGGAGCAATGGTCAATAGTGACCAGACTACAAGAGCAGTTTCAGGAGCAACACTGCAGCAATAGAATCAATGGAGACAAAATAATGATTAGAATGTCTGTCACCATTTGCCCTCCATACTACTTGTGAAAAAGAACTGTCTTTCATGGATTTCAAGAACTCATTGCTTAGGTTTTTAGAAAATTCAAGGGGGAAAGATAGGCGATAGCTTCTAAGGGGATAGTACAGGATTTTCTGCTAAAATGAACTTTTCTAAATGCAAATAAGTAGTCAGAAAAATCAGACATGTGACATGATTTTGTAGAGTTATGCTGGAATGAAATGGATCACATTAGAATCCCTAAGGATGAAGATTGAAAAGTGCCCACTGCTACTCCCAACTAGTCTAGTCATGGCTTGGTTTCTGGCCGATGCTGTGGACTACCGCAATGCCATTCCACAACTGCCTACCCAAACTATGAAATCCCACCTGTTACAGAAGAAGCAGCAGTTAAATTATTTTAATCCTTAGGTAACATAGCTAACATTTTAAACATAGCTAACATAGCTAAACATAGCTAACATTGTAAACACTTACTTAATAAAGCCACGATGATGGGCAAACTGGTCAGCAGCCCTTCCAAATACATCTTCAGAAGAGCAATCAATGCCATGCCGGAGGAGAACATGAACAGTATCTGCTGAATCATAACATGCAGCATGCGCGAGGGCTGAGCTAAAACAGCAGAGATAACTTCATCCTTGGGAACTTAAGTTACTTAGAGAGCTTCTTGGATCTACTCTACCAAATTCATCCCTTGCCTGTCTTTCTAGAATTGACCATTTACATGTGCAAGTATTCATGTTTGTAACTTAAGCTGAAGGCTAAAAGAAGGCTTCTTGTCCCATTGGGACCCATCATAGTAGAAGTTACTAATTTAAGGTCCTTTGATGGACAAGAAACAATGCCAAGGTCACTTATCTGAAATAGATGAAGCTCTAAATGAAGAATTTTCCATTTCTTCCTTAGTCTGTTATGTTAGCAGTTAACGGTCAGCTAAGTAAAAGTTATCTGCAAGCTTAAAACAATGATAATGATAGTAATGGTAACAATACTCATAGCTGCAGTCTAAGCATGAAAGTAAGTGCTATATCAACAATCCTGCACAAATTGACCCTCAAAAGATATACAGTTGACCTATGCACATTGTAGGGGTTGAGGTGCTGACATAGCAGCACAATTGAAAATCCATGCTTTTGACTCCCCCAAACCTTAACTAGTTATAGACTGCTATTGACCAGAAGTCTTACTGTTAACATAGACAGTTGATTAACGCATCTTTTGTATTTCTATATATTCTTACAATAAGGAGAGCTAGAGAAGAGAAAATGTTATGAAGAAATGTAAAAGATGCATTTACAGTATTGTAGCATATTGATTGATAGTGTAAGTTTACTCCCAACCCTTCTGCTCACTGCAATAGAAACAGGAGGTAGATATTAAATTATTACAGTCAGACAGTAGTATACACTAGTCAATTGTATGTTCTAATGATTTAAAACTTCATCTTTACATTGGTTCACATTTTCTTTGATTAAGAATGGTGCACATGCACAGTCTGTACACACAGACTGTGTACAGTGTATAAGTTTTGACAAATTTTTATTTTCATAATAGATTTGTATAAAATTTATGGTAGTAAATGATAAAATAGACTATTTTCTACATATAATTTATGCATTCATGACATATCCAACTTTTTTTGAACATTTTCAATATTTCAAGGCTGCAGTTTGTGAGTTTTTCAAATTGTTATAAAATTCAAAACAATTTTCCAATATATTCATTTTTCAAAATCCACAACCCAAGAAGTTGAAATCTGTGCTGTTCAGGGGTCAACTGTGCTATTATCTTCCTTTTAATATCAGGAAACATTGGTTGATGATAAGCAATGTTCCTAAAGTTACACACCTAGCAAGTGGCAAAGCTAGGAATTAAACCCAGGCCTGTGGAATCTAAAACACATCTCTTCTCTATCACCTACTTATGAGTTTTTCTAAAGAAAAAAATTATTCAATGAAAGTTGTCTTTCTTACTTCCACCCATATCAATTGAAAGTAAAATCATGAAAATAAACTAGAAGTGACAAAGGAAAAAAAAAACTGATGATCCTGTAGTATCTAGTAATAGTAATTAATATTCACATAGGGATGCAAGCTAATATAATCAGTAATCTTCAAAGAAAGAAATTTATAACAAGTATTATCCAAAGAATAAAATCAACCTCTCTTTATGTCTAATACGCATCTTTTAAGGAAAAATATTGAAGTGGAAAAGCTAAAGTCATATTACTAGAAGGGTGTGCAATTTCAGGTTGGTGTCATATAGTAAACAAAAAGTTAGAGTCCACGCTTTACAAGACTAATAAACCAATAGGAAACCATGTGAGGTAACATAAGGGCATATGACCCAAAGAATCAGATTGTGTCATCAGCTAATATAAGAACTATGAATCTTGCTGTGTTGTTCTTCACATTGCACAGTAAGAATAACTGGTTCTCCAAGGGCAAGTCCTAGGAGTCTGACTGTGGAACTGATGTGCCAGTGGGGGATGGAGAGAAGTGTGTAGAATTCCAGTGTGGGAGGGTGCACAATGGCTATGTGGGAAGAGTGTGGGTGTGTTAGTGGTGGTTGTGGCATGGTAACATACATCTGAATAGGTGGGATCCTTTACTTCTGAATTCTATACACTGCTGTACACTAATGTTGCCTTAATAAGTGCATGTGCGCACGCACACACACACACACACAATTAAAATATTTGGGAAAAAAAAGAATTGGCTCTCTTCCTAACAGGACATGTTGATATTAATAATTAAAACTCATGTGCTTCTTATTAATTTAATCTTTCTGGTTTCGGTGATTGTTACCACTCTAGAACCACATAAAGTTTAAAATACATACCTTCCAAAGTTATCAACAGCATTTATATCCGCTCCCTTGTTTAACAAAAACTCTATTATTTTTTGTTTTTTTTTCCCTTGCAGCATATAAGAGTGGTGTGCATCCATTCTGTAAAACAACAAAAACAATTAATGGTTTACAAAATCACATATTTTAAACTGAAATTTAAAAACTTAAAAGAGATCCCCTGAACTTAAACATATAAGAAAAATCAACTTAAAAGTCACCCCTTCTTTCTCACCAGTCACTTCATATGTGCTGTTCTTTCTCTTTAAAATACTTCTCTCTCTAACCTCAACAGATGCAAAGTTATTGTCCAATACTCTTGTCAAAAATTTCTTAAAGAGACAATAACAAAAACAAAGAGAAACCCCACCAACTGGGAGAACATTTTTGCACACAACACTAATGATAAAGGATTGATCACAAAAATCTGCAAAGAGCTGATAAGACTCAACAACAGCAAAGAAAATAATCCAGTCAAAAAATGGGCAGAAGAGCTAAAAAGAAACTTCTCTGAAGAGGAAATGCAAATGGCCAACAGGCATATGAAAAAATGTTCAACATCACTTGTAATCAGGGAAATGCAAATCAAAACTACCATGAGATACCATCTTACACCAGTGAGAATGGCACATATTAAAAAAAAAACTAGCAACAACAAATGTTGGCGAGGGTGTGGAGAAAAAGGAAATCTTCTGCACTGTTGGTGGGAGTGCAAACTGGTCCAACCACTATGGAGAGCTGTGTGCAGATTTCTGGACCTACTAAACATAGAGCTTCCATATGATCCAGCAATTCCACTCCTAGGTATTTACCCAAAGGACACAGAAACATCAATTCCAAAGAACACCTGAACCCCTATGTTTATAGCAGCACTATTTACAATAGCTAAGCTTTGGAAACAGCCCAAATGCCCAAAAATAGATGACTGGATCAAGAAGATGTGGTACATATATACCATGGAATATTACTCAGCATTCAAAAAAAGAAAAACACATGCAATTTGCAGCAACATGGATGGCGCTGGAAGGGATCATGCTCAGCGAAATAAGCCAGAAAGAAAAAGAAAAATACCGGATGGTCTCACTCATAGCAGGAATCTAGAAAACTTAAATAAGGGACCAGGAAAAAAAAAATTCTTGGTCCCAAGAATCTTGCTTCCATTTCAGAATTTACCATGGTATACTTTAATTATTTTATTCCTCACCACCTAAAGCAAGAATTTCTTGAAGCCATAGGCTACTTGTTTTTTTAAGCCCTGTATCTCCAAATTCTGAAACAGTAATAAATGTTTGAAGCATATTTATTGAATTAATAATCTCTTTTGGCAGAAGTTAAGGACTATGCCCCACTAGATACATTCCATAATCATCTACTGCTTGAGAAAATTACAAAACATTACATGTCCAGTTCTAAAGAAATCAGTTTAATTTGCTGAATCCCTTTTTAACAATACTTTCTTGTGGCAAACATTAACATTCGAGGAATTAAGGGATGCAGGGATCATTTTGAGAATTTTCTATTAAAGGTGATGGTTTTCTTCCAGTGAGGCACATTTACTTGGTTCTCCTTCATCAGTGGTACCTGGCACCCAGATGTCACAATCTGGCACTCTTACTTCACTTGGATTCCTAAGGACATGGGCTTTGAATTAAAAAACATAGGCTTCAAATGAATTCTGATTGCTTATTACTAAATGGTCCTTGGGTTGCCCCTATTAGAAGATGGAACTTTTTATATTACCTTTATAAGATAAAGTTCATTTTTAAAAATTCACTTTTATTCTGGTTTTCATTTTAATTGCCACTGAAAATCATTTTCTTTTTTTGGAAGAATGGGAGCCAGAAATAAAAATACAATGTCCCCCATATTTTAAGAATTTGGCCAAAAAAACCACATAATTTTCCTTTACCAAAAAAGAATTATCATTCCTAAACCCTGAAGGGCACCTGAGTAAACATAAACTAAAGGGGGAAAAACAGCTCTTCCCTCTATTGGCAATTACCATCAATAGCCAAATTTCCAAGTTAGCCCACATGTTTATGATTGCTCTCTTCCTTTTCCCTTTTTTGCTCTTCAGCCTTGGCCAGAGAGACAGAAATCATTTTATATAAAAATATTTTATGAAGCAAAAATTCATCATTAGCAGCAGACTTCTTTCATATTACTTTTGTTTTGAGTTTTAAAATAAAGACTATTTCCCAGGCAAATTTGTTTTCCTGTGTTATTTATTATTATGAAAAAATTACTTGGTTGGGAATAAAATTTTTAAAAATAACCTTTAACCAATTCAGTGCTTTTGCACAAATATTTGCCAAACATGTCTACACAAATGCTAAGCATCTCTACTGCATCTTTTAGATGCATCACTATTTAAAGTGGAATCTTAGACAATTATTTAAAACTATTTTCATTCAGGGAGTGCTCGACCCTCCAAAATGTAAATGTGAACCTCCAATATGTACATGTGACCCACTTACGTCAGGGCTGTGGTTACAGAAGATAATGTATGTCCAGATGGGAAAGCAGATCGACTGACTTCCCTTTCACCTGCTCCCCCTTACAGGTATGCCCCGCTGACGAGCTATGCAAGACTGAGCAGGACTCTCTGCTATGGGAAGCCCGTGGTGGTTCAGAGCTGGCAGCACTGTGAGCACCACACGTGGATGCCCCTGTTGGATGTCAAGACATGACCTGACCCCTTGCCCTGATTTCGGAACCTAGGGTGCCTGGGCCCCGAAAGCCTGCTGTTTCTCTCCTCAGGTAACAATGCCGGCTGTGGGGTCTCAAGTCCCCCTCGTACCCATCCTAGTAGCACCCATTTCCTGAACCCATGAAGAGTACTCAGCGCCAATCATGTCTTTAGTTTTTTGTGGGCGCTGAGTACGAAGGAAAAAGAACGAAGAAAGACTTGGGGAACTATCTGACTCCATGAGGAAAGGAAATATAAGAGTTATAGGAATACCAGAAGGAGAGGAGAGAGATGTAGGAACAGAGAAAATATTCAAAGAGATAATTGAAGAGAACTTCCCAAATGTGTAGAAGGAGCTGAAAATTGATATACAAGAAGCAAGTAGAACACCAAACTTCCACAACGAAAGGAGAAATACAGCAAGACACATAATAGTAAAGCTCCCAAGAATCCAGGACAAGGAAAAAATAATGAAGCTGACAAGAGGGAAGAAACAGATAACATTCAAAGGAAAACCAATCAGGCTGACATCAGACTTCTCTGAAGAAACTCTACGGGCAAGGAGAGAGTGGAGGGACATAGTCAACAGACTCCAAGAAAACAGATGCCAACCAAGAGTACTCTATCCCGCAAAGCTCTCCTTCCTCTATGAAGAAAGATTAAGGACCTTCCCAGACAAACAGAAACTCTGGAATTTCATTACGACTAAACCCCCACTCCAAAAAATACTACAAGGAGTCCTAAAGCCAGAACCTCAGAGGGATGAATAACAACGAAAGAAGGCCAAAAAAAAAAAGTTGTTAAAAGAATAAATAAATCAAAGGAAAGACAAACACAAAGGCAAATACAGATGCTAACATATCAATATTAACTCTAAATGTAAATGGATTAAACTCTTCAATAAAAAGACACAGAGTTGCAGCCTGGATTAAGAAACAAAACCCAACCTTTTGCTGTCTCCAGGAAACACATTTAGCTACAGAAGATAAAAATAGACTCAAAGTTAAAGGATGGAAAACAATCCTACAAGCAAATGGACCAAAAAAAAAAGCAGGAACAGCTATACTTATATCAGATAAAACAGATTTCAAACTCAAAAAAATAAAAAGAGACCCCGATGGTCACTACATTATGATCAAGGGGACAATACTTCAAGAAGAAATAACACTCATTAACATATACTCACCAAACGAAGGAGCACCAAAATATATCAGACAACGGTTGTCATCTCTGAAAACAGACATCAGAGAAAAAACATACGTAGTGGGAGACTTTAACACACCACTATAAACAATGGATAGATCAACAAGACAAAAAATAAGTAAAGAAACTAAAGCTCTAAATAAGGACCTAGACCATTTGGGCTTAACAGACATTTATAGAACACTAAACCCCCAAAAAACGGAGTACACATTTTTCTCAAGCGCACACGGTTCATTCTCCAGGATCGATCACATACTGGGGCACAAGACAAACATCAACAGATACACCAAGATTGAAATCATACCAACCATCTTTTCTGACCATGAAGTCATCAAACTAGAAATAACCATAAAAAGAAGGCAAGGAACTTTCCTGCCTCATGGAGATTAAAAACCACACTACTGGAAGAACAATGGACTAATGCGGAAGTCAAAGAAGAAATTAAAAAATTCTTTGAATAGAATGACAAGGAGGACACCAATATCCTAAATGTATGGGATGCAGCAAAAGCAGTAATAAGAGGAAAATATATAGCAATAGAAGCTCACATCAAGAAACAAGAAAAAACTCAAAGACAACCTAATCTTGAACCTCAAAGATCTAGAAAAAGAACAACAAAAAAACCCCACAACCAGTAGAAGAAAAGAAATAATAAAAACCAAAGCAGATATAAATGAAGTTGAAACTAAAAAAACAATCCAAAAGATCAATGAAACCAAGAGCTGGTTCTTCGAAAAAAAATCAATAAAATAGACAAACCCCTAGCCAGGCTCACAAAGGAAAAAAAGGGAGAAAGAACAAATAAACAGGATCAGAAATGAAAGAGGAGAAATCACAACGGACAGAGCAGAAATCAAAAGAACACTCAGTAACTACTATGAACAGTTATATGGAAACAAGTGCAACAATCTAGAAGACATGGACAAATTCCTAAAACTCTGCAATCACCCAAAGCTAGATAAAGAAGAAATAGAGCACCTAAACAGACCAATTACAAGCAGCAAAATTGAAATGGTAATCAAAAACCTCCCCAAAAACAAAAGCCCAGGACCTGATGGATTTACAAATGAATTCTACCAAACATTCAGAGACGAATTAGTGTCTATCCTTCACAAACTCTTCTAAAAAATTGAGAAGGAAAGGATAATACCAAACACGTTCTATGAAGCCAACATTACACTAATACCAAAACTGAACAAGGACAACACAAAAAAGGAAAACTACAGTCCAATCTCCCTAATGAACACTGATGCAAAAATCCTCAACAAAATTTTAGCTATCAGAATCCAACAATGTATCCATAAGATAATTCACCACGACCAAGTAGGATTCATTCCAGGGACACAAGGATGGTTCAACATCTGAAAATCAATGAACGTTATCCAACACATCAACAAAAAGAAATATAAAAACCATATGATAATATCAATAGATGCTGAGAAAGCTTTCAACAAAGTGCAACACCCATTCATGATAAAAGCCCTTGTAATTCTTGGGATACAAGGAACATACCTCAACATCATAAAGGCCATCTATGACAAGCCAACAGCCAGTATCATTCTCAATGGCAAAAAGCTGAAAGCAATTCCATTAAGATCTGGAACAAGACAAGGATGTCCACTCTCACCACTGCTTTTCAATATAATACTGGAAGTCCTAGCCAGAGCAATAAGACAAGTGAAAGACATACAAGGAATCCAAATAGGAAATGAAGAAGTCAAGCTATCACTATTTGCAGACAATATGATAATATACATAGAGAACCCCAAAAACTCCACAGAAAAACTAATTCAACTCATCAATCAGTTCAGTAAAGTGGCAGGATACAAAATCAACATGCAAAAGTCAGTTGCCTTCCTATACACAAACAATATCTGAAGAAGAAATAAAAAAAAAAGCATCCCTTTTATTATCGAAACAACAAAAATCAAATACTTGGGAATAAATCTAACAGAAGAGGTAAAGGACCTATACAAAGGGAACTATAAAAATTGTTAAAATTAATAGAAGAAGACACAAAAAAATGGAAAAACATCCCCTGCTCATGGATTGGAACAATAAACATTATTAAAATGGCCATCCTACCAAAAGCAATATACAGATTCAATGCTATTCCAATCAAAATTTCAATGTCATTCTTCAAAGAAATAGAACAATTATTGATGAAATTCATATGGAATCACCAAAAACCCCGAATAGCCAAAGCTCTCCTGAAAAAAAAAAAAAAAAAAAGAAGGGAATGGAGGCATCACACTCCCAGACTTCAAACTATACTACAAAGCCATATTCATCAAAACTGCAAGGTATTGGAACAAGAACAGACATTCAGACCAATGGAATCAAATAGCAAATCCAGAAATAAACCCACAGATTTATGACCAAGTAATATTTGACAAAGGAGCAAAGACTATGCATTGGAGCAAAGAAAGTTTGTTCAATAAATGGTGATGGGAGAACTGGGTTGCTACATGCAAAAGAATGAAGTTTGACCACTACTTCACACCATATACAAAAATCAACTCAAAATGGATTAAAGAACTAGACATAAGACCTGAAACCATAAAATACACGGAGGAAATATAGGCGAAACTCTAAGTGATATTCACATCAAAGACATCTTTACAGACACATCACCCAAAGCAGTGATAGTGAAGGCAAAGATCAACAGCTGGGACTACATCAAATTAAAGAGCTTCTGCACAGCAAAAGAGACAATAACAAAAACAAAGAGAAACCCCACCAACTGGGAGAACATTTTTGCACACAACACTAATGAAAAAGGACTGATGATAAAAATCTGCAAAGAGCTGAAGAGACTCAACAACAACAAAGAAAATAATCCAGTCAAAAAATGGGCAGAAGAGCTAAAAAGAAACTTCTCTGAAGTGGAAATGCAAATGGCCAACAGGCATATGAAAAAATGTTCAACATCACTTGTAATCAGGGAAATGCAAATCAAAACTACCATGAGATACCATCTTACACCAGTGAGAATGGCACATATTAAAAAAAAACTAACAACCACAAATGTTGGCGAGGGTGTGGAGAAAAAGGAACTCTTCTGCACTGTTGGTGGGAGTGCAAACTGGTCCAACCACTATGGAGAGCTGTGTGGAGATTTCTGGACCTACTAAACATAGAGCTTCCATATGATCCATCAATTTCACTCCTAGGTATTTACCCAAAGGACACAGAAACATCAATTCCAAAGAACACCTGCACCCCTATGTTTATACCAGCACTATTTACTATAGCTAAGCTTTGGAAACAACCCAAATGCCCAAAAATAGATGACTGCATCAAGAAGATGTGGTACATATATACCATGGAATATTACTCAGCATTCAAAAAAGATAAACACATGCAATTTGCATCAACATGGATGGCGCTGGAAGGGATCATGCTCAGCGAAATAAGCCAGAAAGAAAAAGAAAAATACCGGATGGTCTCACTCATAGCAGGAATCTATAAAACTTAAATAAGAGACCAGGAAAATGAATAACTACAAGAAAGTGAAAATCAAAATCAACAAAAAACTATGAGCCAGAGACACTTTTTGGGAGGTGGGGGGCAGGAGGGGAGGGATTGGGGTCAGAATGGGGGCGGGTGCAATTGTATGGGGAATATAAAAATAAAATTTAAAAAAAATAAAAAATAAAAAAAATAAAATCTTTCAAAGCTTAAAAAAAATAAAAATAATAATTCACATCTCTAGGTCTTTTACTAATAATTATTCTGTTTATTGAATGAGTAAACTCTTTTTTAAGATACGGTCAGTCCTCATTTTTTGCAGATGCTGCATTGTGAATTCACTTAATTGCTAAAATTTATATGTAATCTAAAAATCAATGCTGAAGCAGTTTTACAGGCATTTTCAGCAAACACATGACAAGAGCAGAAAAAATTGGGTCTCCTAACATGCATGCTCCCAACTGAGGCCAAAAGGAAGGATATTCGGGATACACTGCCTTCTTGTTTAGGCCCTCATGCTATTAACAATTATGATTTTTATAGTATACTTAGTGCCATATTTTTCATATTTCTGAGCTTTGTTTTAGGGTTTTCTATGTGTAAAATGGTGGCCATTGTGTGCTATAGTGCTGTCTAATGTTCCTAAGTGTGAGAAGATTGTGATATGCCTGAAGGAGAAATACATTCATTCATTTAGATAAGATTCATCAGGCATGAGTTGTAGTGCCAAAAAAAAATGAAAAAAATATAATAAAATAAAATTATGATGTGGAGGGACTTCCTTGGTGGCGCAGTGGGTTAAGTGCTGTGCTGTGGAACTGTCCACAGCATCTGCAGCGTGGGTTTCATTCCCGGCCAGCCAGGGAGATTCCCACTGGCGTGGCAGACCTCTCCTGTCTCACCCACTGCTCCCCTCAGCAGTGCTTTCAGTCTGTCTGCTTGTTCTGCGCCCCACTGTCTATCTGGTGAATCCTCTCACCCTCCCGTGCCTCTGGCCTGTACTCCAGTTCTTGTATAAAAATAAATAAATATTTGAAATAATTTATGATGTGGAATAATATACATTAAATTATTAGTAAAAGTAGTCATGTTAAGAAGCTGCTATATTATTTACAAGCATTTCATATATCATAATACTAGTAAAGATTTCTCCCCCATAAAATCCAAGAAGGTAAATTAGGAAGTTTTACAAAACTTATGCTACATCTCTGAAATACAAAAGTTAATTGCTCAAACATTTCTTTAAAGCCAGAATGTTCAATACCTCAAACTGCAGAGTTCCCGTTTCCATTCCACTTTTTGATGCTCTAACTGGGATTTCATTTCTTTGGTTTCTGAGAGCTCCTTTTGTAGCCCACTAACCTTATTTTTCATTTTTTTTTAATTTTTCCTGAAAGCAAGTGACTGATTTTTTTTTCATATGAAAGATGTGCATCCGGGATTTTCAATAAGCTCACAGAATCTGCTCAGGGAGAAAACAAACAGAGAAATAAATATATAAGTACTTTTGGTGTACAAAGGATGTGAATTTTCATATTCACTTATTCATGTATTTATTTTATATATTGAGTGTCGTGTCTACCATGTAGAAGATATACTCAACTTTGTAGGTAAAATAGACAAGAACTCTGTCTATTGTTTAGCTAATGTCTAATGGCAGAGGAAGACAAATAAAATGATAAGTTCTGACAGATACTGTAAGCAAACTGAATTCTGTGATCACTAACAGAACATGATCTAGGAAGAGGAAGAGATGGCTACCTTAAGAAATGAAGGATAAACAGGAAGCAATTAAGCAAAGGAGAAAGAACAACATTCTAGGAGTTTACAGCATGTGCTGAAGTTCTACTGCGATCTGCTTCTAGCCAACATGGAATAATAGGTACTTCCTTCTGAAATAAACAAAGACAAAACAGACAAAATACATTCAAAATAATTTTCAAGATAAAGAACTTCAGGCAGTGAAGGACAATGATTTCTGAAGTTAATCTAATGAATGTCCCAGCTCACTGCCTCCAAGAATTTCCAGGCCATGTCCCAGGGAGCAGGAACTGCAGTGGGGCTGATGAAACAGAGTCTGTGAAAACAAGGTAGATAGAGATCACAGGTCACAACAGTGGAGAGAAAGAAGCCCAGGGATCTGCAGAGGGGCCCCTCAGGGTATTCAGCAAAACCAATCTATAGTGTATGTACCCTAGTGAGGAAAGCACCAGAGACCAGTGGGGAAACCATAAGAAAAAAGTAGAGGAAACAGTGTTGGCTGCTCACATAGCACCAGCAATAGTGTCTGCTCCATTAGCCAGGCTGGAAAAACTCCTCATTCGCAGGACAGTGGCTAGTGGGTAATACCCAAGCCAAGGCTGAGCACTGCTTCAGAGTCACTAGACTAATCATAAGAACAAGTCCAGGAGAATCAGGCTTGTTGAAAAGTAACTTAACTGTCTTAAAACAGAGCTCCAAAAGATAAGACAGCTATTTAAAAAAAAAAAAAAAACACTTATAGAGCCAGAATTCAAAATGTCAGAGATGAAACTCACTGGTGGGGGTAAACACATATTAGACATTACAAAAAAAAATGAGTTAGTATGATATGGGTGAAATGTGAGAAAAATTCAAGTGGCTAATATACAATTCCCAAGAGGCAGGAGAAAGAGAAAGAAAAAAAAAAATCAAGAAAAAAAGGGCCAGAACTCTCCAAAGTGAATGAAACCTATTGTCCCATAGATCTAGAAAAATCAGAAATGAAAGTAAACTATGTCATTTTCTCACACACTGTATATAATATGGTAAAGTATTACTTGAACGTAAACTGTGATTACCTACTCATAAACTATAAACTCTAAAGCAACCACTAAACTAACAAGACAAAAGAGATATAGCTAATAATCCCAAAAGAGAAATAAAACTACATCATAAAAATTACATACGCTAAAAAAAGGTAGGAAAAAAAAGAGGAACAAGGAGCAGATAGGATGAACAGAAATCCAACAGCATGATGACAGATTGAAACCAACTATATCTCAGTATCACCGTTAGGTCTGAGGGTCTCAATACAACATCTCCATACCTTGTAACAGATGTGAAAAAAGCTCACAAGGTCAATAGAGCAAAATGACCTCAATGTAAGACCTCAAACTATACAATTTATAAAAGGTAGCATAATCTTTGTGACCTTGTGCTAAGCAAAGTTTTCTTAAAATGAACACCCAAAGCAAAAGGCATGTAAAGAACAAACACCTAAATCGGACATCAAACATTTTTGCTCTTAAAAAATGAAAATAGACACAAAATGGAAAACAAATGGCACAGCTACTTGAGGAAAAAAGTTGGCAGTGTCTGAAAGGAATACAAATGGTCGTGAGGAGATGTTTTAGGGGTGACGCATACATTAAGTATCTTGATTGCAGTGATGGTTTCATGTGTACAGACATGGTCAAGTGACCCAGGGACACACTTGCTATATGTGCAGTTTACATCACTAAACTATAACAAACAAAAAGTCTTATTGCAAGAAAGAACCACCATGGCAGTGCCTGAGACACAGATGGATAAAGGAGGACAAGAGATGCAGTGAGAAGACTGTGGCCTTTAACCTTATTCCAATAGCTGGGTTTTAAGGAAGGGGGTTAACATGATGAGATCTGAAGTTTTGAAAATATATCACAATCAAGGTTTTGGAAAGTGGAATGGCAGGAAGAACGGCTCTGAGGTCATTTCAGTATTTCACAAGGGAAAAAATGGTACATGACCTTGAATGAAGGCCTAGGAGACAGCAGAGTCAGCAAGAGTACAATGAGAATTCTCAAAGCTCTTTGGCTGAGTGTATACAATTGCTTTCATTTCAATTTAATATAAAACAGTTCTGAGATGAATAACATTATACCTGTGCTTTACGGTGTTAGTACTAGATAAATGGTGTATAAAACCCCACAGTGTAAAGAAAAGACTTTATAGTTATAAAATCCTACCTTTACAATCTATGCTAAGCTGTTCAATAAGCAACATAGAATTCTTATAATTAGAGTAAGGTAATTCACTATCTTCAGGTTATCCACAGAATTAATTTGCTTCTTGACCTACAAATAAGCAATGCTATTTCAAAATGTTCTCAAAATATTTAGGAAACATACTAAATATGCAAGGGTGATAAAAATCCATCTTTCTATAAAAGCAAAAACAAACTTCTTTTTAATTACTATTTTTATCAAAAGACTACCTTTATATATAACTAGTGTTATACATCACTCTTTCAAAATAAACCTCCCTGAAGTTGAGGAAAACTTTCTATTTTTTCACTCTACCTTTTACAATGTGTTTCTTTTACTACAGAATAATATTTTTTAAGGATTTATTTTTATTTATTATGCATATAAGAACTATAGGCCAGAGGTATGGTGGGGGTGAGAGGATTCACCAGAGACACAGTGAGGAGCAGAACAGGTGGATCTACTGAACTACACTGCTACGGGGAGCAGCAGGTGATATAGGAGAGGTCTACTGCCCCATTTGTGGGTCAGCTCCCCGGGTCTGGGAATTGAACTAATGCTGCAGTGGCTGGCACTAGCTTGACAGTGCTGAGACTTGAGCCCCTGCACCACCAGGGAGGTCCCAGAATAATATTTATTATCAATTAATTTTTACTGTACCTTGTTCTTTTCTTTAGATGTTTTCTTTATAAGCCCCCCCAAAAAATAACCAAACAGCTATTTCAGATGCATGTTAACTATTTTAATACAGAGAATAACTGAGACTAGATTTTTTTTAAATAAATATCTGCAATGTAATTAATTTTCTAGAGTGGGAATCACGCAATACATAAAAAGAGTAATATTAATGAACAAAGATGTACGCAATACATAAAAAGAGTAATATTAATGAACAAAGAAAATGTACTACAAATAATATTAACAAATCATTAAATATAGATCAAGCTGACAGTCAACAAGTTTCTAACATTGGAAATACAAACAAAATCAAATTTAATAAACATGTTCTTCTCTGCTGGATCATTTCCAAGAGCATAAATATCTAAGATAAGAAAGAAAACTCCCTCAAACTCTTCTGAAGTTATCCATTTTTCTACTGTCTTTCTCCGTATATATTCTTCTATAAAGGAGCAGTTCACACTCACTCACCACAAACTGGCTGAAGGGCAACTATTTATTGAAACTTTCTCATCAAATTTACTGGTCCTCATTGTAACCTCTCAACAGTATTTCTCTGATATTCTCTAGAACTCTCTTGTTGGGGACTGTACACTACATTATAGTTGTTTTATTCCCAGAAAAAAGTAATCACTGCTAATATTCCTATACTTAGAAATAAAGAACTTAGAGAATTTACCTTCCATCATTCTGATCTACTTCACTTAAGCTGCTGTCATCATTCACTTGAAGCGCACCACCAGTTAGGGAACCAGCCTTCTCAAACATGGATATAGTCACAGATGCTTTGACTGTCCATTTGTTATTTTCATTTTTCTTTGCTTCTTTCATAGGCAAGCCAGGATTACTACTTTTAAAAATCCACAAAAAGGTCAATATTTAGAATAACTACTGATATATTTTGTACAGTTCCAACATTTATCTACATTCATTTGTCTATTAATTCACAAGAAGTATGAAGTACCATCTATAAGCAAGGAAATACACTTTTCTTGCTTCAAAAACAGATATACAATTATGATATAATGTGCTATAGAAGGATTGTCATATGAAATGTTAAGTGAGCACAAGGGAGGCTTTAAGAAGAGGGATGGCAGAGGAGGTCACCAGAAAAAAAATATTCTACATGGAGAGTCTTTAATGCACAAAGACTGGGAGAAGTATAAAATTCATAGAATTTTATGTGATAGAATTTTATAGTGATGAGCTAGGAAATTGTGAAGCTTCTGTGCAAAAGCTTGAGAGTGCCTAAAGTTATGACTCTTAGACACTGTAGTACTAATTAAATCACCACTGTATTTTTTATTTTGTTTTAAAATATATAGTAATACTTTGGGCCTCCCCGGTGGCGCAGTGGTTGAGCGCTGGGTTGTGAAGCTACCCGCAGCCTCTGCAGCGCCGGTTCAATCCCCAGCTGCTCCCCGGCCACCAGAGGAGGGTCCCACATGGCGCGCAGACCTCTCCTGCCGCCCGCTGCTCCCCTCAGCAGTGTACTTTGGTCCTTCTGCCTGCTCTGCTCCCGGCTCTGGCTCTGGTGAATTCTCTCACCCTCCCGTGCTTCTGACTGTACACAGTGCTTGTATAAATAAACAAATAAATCTTAAAAAAAAAAAAAAACACCGTAGAGCTTACTTCATTTTGGAAAACAAAGATTTGGAAGAATGTAAGTTTTAAAATGTTGCATGCATCTTACTTTAGCTCAACATGGAGACAAAGTAATCCTTTTCTTTCTAATTTGGCAATGTTTTGTAAATTTATTTTTATTAAGGTGACATTGGTTATTTGTGTGATATATCTAACAACTAAAGCTTAAAATGAAATTACTTCCCATATTTTAAATGCATTTCTGTTCTTTTCATAGATAAATTGCAAATTGTTTCTGTGTGTTTATTTTCTTCGTTGTGTGCTTAATTGTATTAATCTTCTATAACAGATTAATGAATCTATTCTGTTACAAATCTGTCACATCCCATAACAGAAAATAATCTGTGCTCTGTGCTGCCACAGCTTCTAATTGCTCCTTACATAAAGGTACAAAATTCTCCTCATGGCACACTCAGGAGTAAAATTCCTGGGTTGTATGGAATGTAAATATTCTGCCTTTCAAGATAATGCTCAATCATTTTCCAGTGTGATGGTATAAATCTTTTCTATGGAGTTTGATTGTAAACTACATGTAGAGTGTGAGTTAGTGGTAGTGCAGGTGAGCTGACATGAAATAGAAAATAAAATAGAAAACACAGGAGAAAAGAAGACATCAATGGACAAAAAATCAGTATAAGCAGAAGTTCTGCAGTGGACAAGAGAGATATTCCTGGTCGATGCAGGCACAGTAACATCACAGATACAGAGCAAATGCCAGATCCTGAAATGTTCCAGTTTCTGGGGGATGGCTCAGTGACACCACCTCGAGTAGTGTTGAACAGGAATGGTGACATCAGGCACTGTTCTCCCATTCTCAAATGCAGGGCAAATGCTTTTATCATTTTATCATAAAATATGCCCTTTCTTATAGATTATTGTATAGATGAAAGAAGTCTCCAATGAAAAATACTTTCCTACAGGATTTATTATAAAGTGAAAAATATATCTTGCATTTTATCAAATGTTTTTTTCTGCATCTATCAAGACTACTATATTTTATCTCTTTGTGCTATTCATGCAGAAGATAACATTATTTTATATGTCAAAGCCACACTGCAATCCTTTACAGAATAAACCTAAATTTGGGAGGTTATTTTCTTGAGGATTTTTGCATCTCAGCATATGAGATAAATTGGACTTTAAGTTTTCTTTTCTTAAATGTCCTGAAGAAGGTTTTATAACAGTGTTATGCTGGACTCATAAAATAAATAAGTTTTCCCATTTTCTCTATTTGAAGGAAGATTTTGTTTGAGATGTCAATAAGTCTAGATGAAATATCTGGAGATTTTATTTTTGATCTCTCTGGACCTGGGATTTTCTTTGTGGGGAGAATTTTTGTCATTCCTGTTTTATTACAATTTAAACATCTTTAACAGAACATAGACTACTCAGATTTCCTATTTTCCCCACATTGGTTTGTACATTTCACCTAAATTTTCAAATTTAATGTCACAAAGTTGCACCTTATCTCCCTTTAAAAGTGTTTGTGTGCAGACAATTATAAATCAGAGACATACTGCAGGGGAGGAGGAGAGAAAGGGGTGAGAGGGAAGGAGGGAGGAGCACAGGGGACTGTGGTGATGGTGCATGGGTGCCTTGGGGAAGGAGATTCTATGGGGGCTCAATCTGAGGGGGTGGGGGGAAGAAAATATGGTCTAAAAAATGTAAAAAATGATAAATGTTAAAATAAAAAAAGTGTTTGTGTGAACTAAATATGGATGATTTCTATTTTCTCTTGTTTTTTTTTAAGATCAGTTTTACTAGATATTTAACAATATTATTAGAAATTATTTTCTCTAGTACATGTTTTTTAATTTCATGAATTACTGTTCTTTTCTTAATTTACTTTCCCCTCCTACATCCTCTGTGTTTAATTTGCTATTTTTATTCTACTTAGATTCCTATATGATAAAATTTCACTCTTGCCAATTAGCAGAATTGTACTATGAAGTAGTATTAAATTTGGCATGTTATTAATTATATATTAAATCTACAATGAAATAATTTAATGGGAAAATACAGAGATGAGAAAATAAAGTCAAATCAGAGTCTTTTATGTTTTAATGTCATTCAATGCTTACAGTGGGAAAAAAAATAATAAAAGACAGTACCTCGGAATCCCAAGGTGATTCTGTATCTTCCTCTTCTCCTAATCCTAATGCTGACATCATATCTATAAAACATAGGTACAGATACATTAAGGACAATGCCTATTACTATGAATTATTTTTAAAAAGTCTACATTTATGAATATTTCCATAAAATATTATAGCAGAAAGGAATTTCAGAGGGTTGAAGAAGTTTCAGGAAGAAAAAGCTGGTATACTTATGCAGAAAGAAAGCAAAAGAAAAATACTTAAAGGAAATAGATATTGACTGGTTCACTCGGAAGGCGGGACACACCCTTAGGGGTTATGTACAAATGGAGGTAACACAGGCATAAGCCCAGCCCACATGCACAACTATCACTAGTGATGGACTCCTTCCGGAATCCCCCTCAGCCCTGCCCTGACTCACTGATGACCCAGCTACATTTTGCTTCTCCCTGACATACAGTGCCATCTACTGGAAATGTAGAAGCTCTGTAGCCTTAATATTTACAAAGCAAATAACAGGGAGGTGAAAAAACACTACATGCGGCAATCTAAGTTCTCAGAGGAACACTACACCACAGAGAAAGAACATTCGAGAACCTAACCAAAGACATGCACGATCATTATTCCTGTCAAGTACAGAGCTCAAAAAGGCACAGAGTGACTGATTAGATTAGAAAACACAATCTAACTTTCTGTTTTCTCCAGGCTCAGACTAAAGAGTTGGGAAACTATCCCACAAGCAAATGGGACAATAGCAGATAAAATAGATTTCCAGCTGAAAAACATGAGAGACAGGGATAAACACAATAAATGATTTCAGGAAAAAACACATCGGGAAGTCATAATACTCATCAATATTATACTCACCAAACCAAGGAGCATTGAACTTTATAAGGTAATCACTATCAAATATAGGCTTTGCAAAAAACCACATTCATGGCTGGGGCTTCAACATTCCCTTTTACCAATGGGCAGATTAACCACGCAGAAAGTAAGGGCACAGTAGCCTTAAATAAAGAATTAGACCATATGGGCTTAAAAGACTTTTGTAGGGCAGTGCACCCCACCCTCCCAAAAGCTCAATACATATTCTTCTCAAGCATACATGGGACATTCTCTGGGATTGACCACAGAGTGGGTCACAAGACAAGTATCGACAAATTCATAAAAACTGAAATCATACCAAGCTTCTCCTCTGACCACAATGGTATCAAACTAGAAATCAATCAAAAATGAAGGAAGATCTTTGCAAAGATCAACAGCTGGGACTACATCAAATTAAAGAGCTTCTGCACAGCAAAAGAGACAATAACAAAAACAAAGAGAAACCCCACCGACTGGGAGAACATTTTTGCACACAACACTAATGATAAAGGACTGATCACAAAAATCTGCAAAGAGCTGATGAGACTCAACAACAACAAAGAAAATAATCCAGTCAAAAAATGGGCAGAAGAGCTAAAAAGGAACTTCTCTGAAGAGGAAATGCAAATGGCCAACAGGCATATGAAAAAATGTTCAACATCACTTGTCATCAGGGAAATGCAAATCAAAACTACCATGAGATACCATCTTACACCAGTGAGAATGGCACATATTAAAAAAACTAGCAACAACAAATGTTGGCGAGGGTGTGGAGAAAAAGGAACTCTTCTGCACTGTTGGTGGGAGTGCAAACTGGTCCAACCACTATGGAGAGCTGTGTGGAGATTTCTGGACCTACTAAACATAGAGCTTCCACAGGATCCAGCAATTCCACTCCTAGGTATTTACCCAAAGAACACAGAAACATCAATTCCAAAGAACACCTGCACCCCTATGTTTATAGCAGCACTGTTTACAATAGCTAAGCTTTGGAAACAACCCAAATGCCCAAAAATAGATGACTGGATCAAGAAGATGTGGTACATATATACCATGGAATATTACTCAGCATTCAAAAAAGACAAACACATGCAATTTGCAGCAACATGGATGACACTGGAAGGGATCATGCTCAGTGAAATAAGCCAAAAAGAAAAAGAAAAATACCGGATGGTCTCACTCATAGCAGGGATCTAGAAAACTTAAATAAGGGACCAGGAAAATGAATAACTATAAGAAAGTGAAAATCAAAATCAACAAAAACTATGAACCAGAGACACTTTTTGGGGGTGGGGGGCGGGATGGGAGGGATTGGGGTCAGAATGGGGGGATTGCAATTGTATGGGGAATATAAAAATAAAATTTATTAATTAAAAATAAATAAATAAATAAATAAAAAAATAAAACAGAAAAAAAAAATGAAGGAAGGAAAAAACCTCTAATATGTGGATGTGGAGACTGAATAATACACTACTGAGTAACTACTGGATTAATGAAGAAATCAAAGATAAATTAAAAAATACCTTGAGACAAAAATGAGGACAAACATTTAAGAACCTATGGGACACAGCAAAAGCAGTATGAAGAGGGAAGAATATAGCATATAGCAACACAGGCCCACATATATAAAATGAACAAAAGATCAAATAATCTTAACGCTCACTGTAAGGAACTAGAAAAAAAAAAGAAGAAAAAAAAATCCAGTAGAAAGAAGGAAATAATAAAAATTAGGGCAGAAATAAATGAAGTAAAAGTCAAAATGACAGTCCCAAAGATTAAGAAAACCAAAAGTTGGTACTTTGAAACAATAAACAAAACAGACAAACTTGTAAATAGGCTCACAAAGGAAAGAAGGGAGAATTCAAATAGGACCAGAAATGAAAGAAGAGAACTTATAACAAACATCTTAGAGATTCAGAGAATCATAAGAGTTTACTATGAACATTCTGTATGCTGGTAAGCTGAATACCCTAGAGGAGGTGGATAAATTCTTGGAAATATACAACCATCCCAGGCCGAACAGCAAAGAAACAAGAAAATCTGAGCAGATGAATTACATGTACAAGCAAGGATATATATATATATATATATATATATATATCCTTGCTTGAGATATATATATCCTTGCTTGAGAAACAAGCATTGGTGAGGATGCGGAGTAAAGGAACCCTTATACACTGTTGATGGGAATGTAAACTGGTCCATCCATCCCCTATGGAATACAGTTTGGAAGTTTCTCAAAATATTAAAAATGGATGTACCATATGACCCAATAATTCCACTCCTAGGTGACTATCCAAAGAAGAGAAAAACACTAATTTGAAGGGACACATGCACTCCTTATTGCAGCACTATTGACAATAGCCAAGCTATGGAAACTAAGTGCCCAAAAACAGATGAGTTGATCAGGATATATGGTATATATGTGCAATAGAATACGACTAGGCTATTAAAAAGAGATAAACTCTTGCCATTTGAGATACCATGGATGGAGCTGTAGGGAATTAGCAAAGCAAAATAAGACAGGGGCCTCCGTGGTGGCACAAGGGGTTAAGACACAACCTATGAAGCTATCTGCAGCTGCTGCAGCATGAGTTCGATCCCCGGCCAGGGAGCTACCCACATGGTGCAGGAGACCTCTCCTGACTCGCCCGCTGTTCTCCTCAGCAGTGCATTTCAGTCAGTCTGCCTGTTCTGTTCCCCACTTTGTCTCTTGTGAATCCTCTCACCCCCCACATCTCTGGCCTGTACCCCAGTTCTTGAATGCATAAATACATCTTTCAAAAAAAATAAGACAGAAGAATAAAGGCAAATACTGAATGGTGTCACTCATATGTGGCAATAGAGAAACAAACCAAAGGGTCAGATAAAGTCAAACCAATAACAAAACCTAGGAAGCTGACTTTATTACTGAGGCTACTAGAGGGGGAAAGGGGAAGGGGCAAGACCAAAGTGGGATGGGAGCCCAGGACCATGGGGGCTTTGGTGGGGGGTGTGGTGTAGAGACAACACCTGAAGGGGGAGACGCTGTACCTCTAAAACACAAACCATGCTGTAATCAACGTTGCTTCAAAAAAATACAAAGAAGTGGATATCTCATTTGGATCTAGAAACTTTAGGTTTGCTTATACCACCATTTAAGGATAGAAAATTATTAATAGTCACTCACTTACCACTTCTATTATTTTTGTGTGGTCCATCAACATAAGCCAACTTGTAATTATTTATGTGCTCTTGTGGAGCAATATCAATAATATCATTACCCTTTTCTTCATTTCCAACTGCTGGCTTTGTTGCTTCTTCCTGTAAAGGCAAAACAAAAACCCAACTTCAGAAAACAACCATTCATTCATATGCTTACTCACTGAACTAATCTATCAGTGAGACCACAACATTTACTATACTGAAGTATAGGCACCAGCCCTGCCTGGAAAAAGCTGGAAATATAAATAAAAGACAAATTCTCCCCAATATTTCAGTTAGGGTAGAAATACATGAAGAAAATTAAGAACAGAGAAGTGTAATTCACGAGTTTTTCAACTGATATGAATAAAGTACAACCAGGGCACAAAGGAGAGCACAGTTAGTTGTACCTGGAAAGCTCAGGAACAGCTGACAGGATAGGGTTCTATCTTGCAATATACAACAAGTGCAGGGAGAGGGGAGTGAGAGTATTCTCGAAAGGTGATAGGAGCAAAATAATGACATACAAAGCAGAGAGTCAATGACTCTCAGGGTAATGAGAGTAACACAGGAACTCAGTTATTGGGAGTGGGATGGAAAAATAAAAGTAGAGAATCAGAGACAAACCAAAAAACATCAAGTGTCATGTGAGCATATGAACTTTCCCTTCAAGTAAAAGTATAGATTAAATAAACAATGGTGTTACATCAGTGCAAATATAGGTTAGTAAAGTCACTGTTGGCATTGTGAAGACGATATAAGGGAAGCAAACGAGAAAAGTATTTCAGAATTATAGTGAGAAAGTAAGTTACGGTAATAAGATATCAAAAATGGTAAGCAAGCAAACATATAGTTTGGTGAGTGACTGAATTGATGATTTCAAGGAGGATTGAAAACCAAGATTTTGGCTGCTTCTTGGGGTTTCAGGGGTGCTATTTGCTAGAATGGCAAAAACAGATGTCAAAGTAAATTACAAAGAGTCAGGATAGAGGAAAATCTTAGGGACAATGACTTTAGTTTCAAATATATCAAATTTGAGGAACCAGGAGACTTAGAAGAAAAATTGCATGAATACATTTGGATTAGAAATATTTCTACTACAGGAAGCAATGATGTTCCCTACTTAGGAAAAATTGCTAAGAAGATAAGTATTCGTAAATTATACTAAACTGGTAGAATTATGCAAGCCTACACTGAACACTAAAATTTTGAAAATGAAAATAAGAGCAGGGGGGAGAAAATGAGATTTTTTTCAGCTATATAATTCACATTTGTTCCAAGGATACAAAATGTACTCCTCACGAGTAAAAATAAATATTCACTTCTGGGATGCCACAGTAATATACATTTTTAAGCTTAATGAAAAGATTTCATTATAAAACACTAGTTCAAGATGCTACAAAAAGAGTCCATTTTAAAATTAATTTTAAAAGGCAAGTTTTAAAGTCTAAAGGAGATATGCTTGTGTGATTATAGAATTAAGTGGTGCTTTTAAGTATTACTCTGATGCAAGAAAATATATAAAACACTAGTTTAAAATTCAAATGGTTTTCCCATCCTCTGTGAACAGCACAAAAATAACTCATTTTCTGCTTATGCCACATAGAATGGTAAGATTGGAGAAAGGAACTAGCATAAAAAATTAATAAAACTGCCATTATACAAGTTGAAGATGTAAAAGTCTTCAAATATATCTGCAATTATCAAGCAAGACCCAATACTCACCTAGAAAAGAAGAAAGGGATTGAATAATAAAGTCATCCGTATGAAAGACTTGACATGTTAGGCTTAACAACTATGAAAAATAAGGTAAATAAAGTTTCCCAAGAATAATAGGAAATGCACACACTGCTACAGATATGTAAAAAGTGAAAATCATCTTCCAGAAATAATTTTGCATGTCCTGTTGGGAATCCTTCCTTATGATTCTTTAACAATAAGGATATTTATATTAGGGGTAAAAATCATAAATTGTGATTCCATTCATTTGATGTGCATATATGTATTCACTACACACAGATAATATTAGGAAAAGATACATCAGAATCTTCACAGAAAAAAAATTACTTCCATATTATTTTGTCTTTGAGTGCTGCAGCTTACAATTTAATTTCTCATTAATGGATAGAGATTAAGAACCTCATTTACATAATGAGAAATTTTAATTACTGAAAAGACTAAAATAAATGGGTAACTTATTTCCTCTTTATTCTCAAAAAAATCAAATACCTACACCAAGATTATACCAAACAGTAAGCTAAGATAGTTAAAGAAATAAAGTCTCCCTCAAACAAAAGTAAGAAACCACAAGAAACAGAAGAGCCAAAAATTCAAAATTCATAAAATATCAGTAAGACCTCAAACATTTCACTTCCTATTGTCTATGAATATAAGTTTTGTTATATTAACTATGTCATCATTTTATTAACCTTACAGAAAGTGAGGAATAAGTTTTCTTTCAGTTCATAAGGCATAAGACATTCAGTTCATAAGACATTTAGAAGAATCTGAACATTGTTTTTATGATCTGGCTTTGTTAATTTGCATTTAAAATAATTTCTATCGGTGCCTCCCTGGTGGCGCAGGAGGTTGGGCGCAGCGTTGTGGAGCTGCCCATAGCCTCTGCAGTGAGGGTTTGATCCCTGCCGGCCGGAGAAATACCCACCTGGTACCTCAGACCTCTCCTGTCTCGCCCGCTACTCCCCTCAGCAGTGTATTTCAATTAGTCTGTCTCTTGTGCTCCCAACTCTGTCTCTGGTGAATCCTCTCTCCCTCCCGTACATCTGGCCTGTACCCCGGTTCTTGTATAAATAAATCTTTTAAAAAAATAACAATAAAATAAAATAATTTCTATATATTTTATGATAGAGTTCCTGCTTTCACTTAATCCCACATTTCTGTCATGTTTTACTAATAATCTTTCTCATCTTCACTGTCTTATCCAATCTTCATATTTATCTTATTCTCACATGAATTCTCCCCTTCATCCTTCTCATCCTCCTATTCATCTAGCTGTTATTCCTAGTTGCTTTCTCATTTTTTCTGTCCACCATAGTATACTTAAGAATTGTTTCCTCTCATCAATCTTTATAAATCTCAATCCTTTGTACATCTCTCTTTGGTTATTCTGTGCTCTATTGTAATCTCAAGGAATTAAATTTCTTTCTAGGATTCTTTCCATCATGGTAAGGATCAGGGGAATGTTATGTACACAAGCATGGGGTGGGGGGGAGCTTTAAAAACAGAACAAAATGAATTACTTTTGTATGATCCAGGATTGCTAAAGACTTGAGAGGCTCAGGTGATGGAAAGGCAGGATGAGAAAAGTCCTGGACTTTCATTGATGGCTTAGAAAGGGTTTCAACTACATCTTCATTTTCACTCTCAGAATTGTTATTTTCAAATAAGCATCTACTTTCTGGTCTCATGATGGCACATTTGGCTTGTACTATAGTAAAAACAAAGTAAAGAGTACATAAGAATATCTGTATTTTCAAATCAGTGAACACCACAAAAAATAGTCTTCAGATGGCTTACTGTTTTTCCTGCATTGCTGAGAAGCAGTCATTAGCTTGGCAAAGTTCAGTTTCGGGACAGTCTATGGAAAAAAAAATAACAGCTTTAAGAATAGCAAGTATCAAATTGCATAAAATAAATATAATTTCACAATAATATTTCCAAATGTTATTTCCTTTATAACTTATTATTAAACAAACACTATGATATCCATTAGATTATTTTCTTTATCAGGATAACCAAAAATAAAAACTGTAAGTAGCTTAAAAGTAGTATTGAAAAAAAACTAACACTATAAAATTTAAATTTATTATTTATTATAATTCAAAATGTGCTTGTCTGATTTGTGTGAATTTTTAATTGTAGGGGAAAATGAGAATTTATTTCTGAGCAGTATTTTATATAGATGGTCTGGAATGGCAAACAATGTAAGTAGTTCCTATTTTGTTTGTCCAAAAGATGAAGACAAATGATGGTGTAAATTCAGTAGCAAAAATGAAAAAAAAAAAAATGAAGCTGCCTTGTGGGGCAGTGATTCATGAATGAAAGCAACACTCAGATAATAAAGAGAAACTAAATTAAGAGCAAGAAAATTACGTTCACAAAAGAACACTTTACCTTGGTTCTAAGTCTTCATCGTCTGATGTAGGCCATGAATCAATGCCAGGTTTGCTGGAAAGCCTTGAGAGGTAAAATACTGACTAAATATGAGTGATTTAATTTCTGTATTAAAAAATTCAAGTAAAAGTAGGTTATCTAAATATTAAGTTTCTTGATATAATTTAAATTTGATCTCCGTTTTTTTTTAAAAAAAAGTTTTCAGTTTTCTGTTTCTTATTCTACCTCTCCAAACACGTAAAATATTCGGTAAAATCACATTCTTAGTTCCCACGCAAAAAGTGACAGCCCATTATTGGCAAAGTCTGAGAATTCTTTGTTTTTACCAAAAGTCCTGACCTATGTAGTTCAGTAATATCAAGTCTCCTAATTTTTGAAGGGATCTAAGCTACCCTCTATAACCTGAGGTGGAGGGAGATGATATCACATTCTATTTACTGTAACAAGTGGCTCAAGTTATTATATATTTCAACAGACACCTTAAAGTTTGCTGGTGCCTTCAATTAAACAAACTAGCAGTAGCCTGTTGAGGGTTCCCCTGAACCCTCCACTTAATGTGCCTTTCTACACAACTTCCAACATACTGTGTCCATTGTTCCTGTAATTCATCTGAGTTGCTATAAACCCTAATATTCACATCTCTTTTCTAAGTCCCTTATCACTCTCCAACCCAGTGTCGTTCCTCTTGAAACATGCCACTTCCCTGCTTATTCTGTTCCAGAGACCATGGAGAGACCACAGCTATTCTTCATTTACAGTAAGACAATCCATCTGAAGGAGTGTAAGGTATCACTCATTATACCTAAGAAGACTTGTTGATTAGGGCTTGCGTACATAGTTCTAAAGTTCTGGCTATAGCTTCTGAGATCTGCCTTAAAACTTTTGAAGGTGACAACAAGATAATTTGACACTGCAACTGTCAAATTATTTAGGTCAAATGCTTGGACAAGCCAGGTTTCTTAGAAGAACTGTAAAGCAAAGTTAACACAAACTAAAGTTAACTTTCTCAGCTGATCTGATTTAGATCTCTCTCCAGTGCCAGTGCTACACAAGTACATGTCAATCTACACTGAAAGAGAGAATGGATTTTTGAGAGAGCAGGATGACTGTCAACTCATGGGTCAGTAGCTTTGTAAACAATGGAATCATGTTCCAAGATTCCTGAACCACAGTTACCTAGTTAGCAAAAAAAGAGCTATAGCAGCACAGCTACTTTGCAAAACTATGGAGATGACTATATGAGATAAGTTGTTAACCACATAATACAGCGTGTAGTCAGGGTAAAACACTCAACAAATAGTAGTTCCTTTTCTCTGCACTTAGTTAACAAACAATATTTTTAACCAATAAACTCGTACCTGCTTAAAGAATCTTCTTCAGAACTCTCATCCACTAGTAAAGACAAAAGGAAAATACATTTTAAATCAATAACAGAAAAACACAGAGTATTAAAATACAAGTGTAAATCTGATGTTTTGCTAAAATGCATGTCTTTGGAGCCACACCTGGAAATTATACTAGAGTGAGCATTCTACTATCGGTATGTAATTAATGTGTTAAAAACTCTTAAGTCCTTGCCCTTATATAATTATCAAATGCATGAAACTTGAAATCATTTACCAAAATTTGGTACCTACACATGAACTGCTGTTAACAATGAAATAAAACTAACATGAAATGGCATCACTAGCAGAACCAGCATACATTGCCACACATTGCCAATGTCAAACTTAAATAACATGATTTTTGTGGCAGTCCACCAATAGTAGTTAGAGGAAGTATAGTAATCTTGCTGCGACACAACACAACTTCACCTCTTTAGTAGAGACTGTTCAGTCTAGGATGAAACTCCCTATCACAAGGAAGTTCGGTTTACAGTCACCTATTTTGTAGCAGGGCAAAAGAGGAAATAGATTCTCTAGTTTTACTTCCAAGTGCAAGATAGGTATGGACTTTGTGATTCTAGTTTTATGAATTGCAACCTGTTCAAACTGTCTCCTTCCATTGGTAGGGTCTTTTTCTGTACCCAGCGCATAGACCAGAATGGTCCAGTTAATGCTGTGCAGTAGTGCAGGATGCCATTTTTTCTCAACCCTCCTCATTATGTGACAAATGTCAACAAAAACATGCTTTTCCAGCTTATAAGGTATATTTTATCAGATACTGTGTTGATGAACAACAGCAAAAACCATAAAGGACAAAGAACATCTTAAAAACTACATTCAACTTCCTTGGATTTTAACTTTTTAAACATTCAAAAAGATGGTCACGGTAGGATTCCACAAGACATTCTGCAAAAGGCAAAGCTATGGAGACAGTAAAAAAGATCAGTGGTCACCAGAGATTAGGAAAATGGAGGGATGAGTAGGCAGAGCACAGAGGATTTTACAGCCATGAAGCTATTGTTCATAACACTACAATTATTGGATATGTCACTATACATTGTCATAATGCACACACCTATAGAATTCACAGCACCAGGAGTGAATCCTAAGGTAAACACAGACTCTGGGTGATAATAATGAACCAATCAATGTAAGCTCAGGAGTTGTAACAAATGTACCTCTGGTGCAGGATGTCAACAATGAGGGGGGCTGTCCCCACATGTATCTGGGGATCTGGGACATGTGGGAACTCTGCACTTTATGCCCAATTTTGCTATAAACCTAAAACTGCTATACAAATGAGTTAATAATTTTTTTAAAAGATATCATCTGAACCTGGTATTACCATGTATCATTGATATTGTCAGGATATAGTCACCTTGAAAATTAAGATAAAAATCAAAATGACAGACTGTTGATATTATCTCCCCAACTGAAGTATACAAAAATACACAAAGTAAATAAGCCTGATCATATACTTAGGCAGCAAAATTTTACTGAGCAATATGACTGAATTTCTTACTTTATAATTAACAGGATTTAGCATAACAGGAACCAGAACTGGATCAAATTTTATTCTAATTTTACATCAGGTATCAGTTGGCTAGGCAGGAATTCGATCAAGATGGTGTCTTAAGAGGTCTGTTGCATTGCTTTTAGGGGGATAATTTGAAAGTTATACAGAGAGGTATAAACCTGGAGGGTCCTGTGACTTGGGGTGAAACTGCAGCAGCTCTTGGATATTGGCGACCAGCATGGACTGCACCTGAGGAAACTCATGTTTCATTAAACAAGAGGTGCAAGGAGGGCATCTCCTCGAGTTGTGGTCTGGGGCAGGAAGACCTGAATGGTGTGGAGGTGCACACTCTTGACTGAAGGGAAACATGTACAGAGGAGGCGGGCCACTCCTGTCAAACCAGGCTCCCGGTAGAAGAATAAGGACCATAGTGCACTGGGCAGCACTCAGCCGGCCCCACCCCTCAAGACTGGTACTGACCTCTTGAAGCGCACTGACAGCGCGCAGGCTGCAGACTCTGGTCTGGAGCCCAGAGAGGAGGGACATGGGTAGCGCCACAAGAACAACCCAGCGCCTCCCCCAGGACACATTTCAAACAATAATTGGTCCCCTCCAGGGCTCTCCCTTAACCCCTCACTCAGTATTCAAGATTAGGCCTCCTGGCCTAAAGAAGTTGAGAAAGACCAATAAATAAATAAATAATAATTAAATTAAATAAAACCACCATGCCACTTGATGGAAAAGCAGAAGTAGTGCAAATATTTATGCAACTGTTTCAGGTGCTTTAAAAAAAATAGGGACATCTAAAACAGCAAAATGGGCAGACAAAAAAATACAACACGTGGCACAGCTTGAGACCTCAAGGGAATATGTCACTATAGATAAAGAACAATTAACTCTCCATAATCGAACCACAAAGACATGGAAGATTTTATCCTCCTCTTGGTACAGAATTAAACACTGTCATGATAAAGACATTGAAAGAAATAGTAGAAAATGCAGAAAACAAGTCCAAGAGATAACTCTGTAAAGTTAAAAACAAAATTTAGAAAAACAGATGACTCAGATGAGAAATAAAATTAATGACCAAAAAGAAAAGAACAGGGTTGCAAAATATAAAAAGATATATAGAGGAGATAAAAAATTCTGGAAAGTCAAAGATGGCCTCAGAGCAGGCCTTTAGGCTGACCCACATTGGAACTGCACCCAGAGGGAACCGTGTCTGGGGCAAAACTGGAACACGTCTCAGACATCGGAGACCAGACCACACCAGAAAGGACAACAAAAAGATTCATGCATAAGCCAGAAGTTGGTGGAGACAGACAACTGGGGATTGTGGTCACAGGTGGGAGGCCGCCTTACGAACCACAGCTCTGCTGCCTCACTGGCATACCTCAGAAGGGACCGAGCCTAAGCTGGGTCCTAAGCAGTGCGGAGCCACAATAGAGACAGAGGGGAGACATGAGCAGAGGAGCTCGGGTGCTCCCAGCAGGCCAGGTGCCCAGTGAAAGGAATAAAGACAGTGTAGTGGGCTGTGTCCCCATTCCCATAGCCCTTAGGATGGTGCTGACCTTGTGGACCTCGCTGAGAGCACTCAGCCTACAGAGACTTGGGTGTGAAACCCTACAGTGGAGGGATTCAGTGGTGCTACAGGCATGAGCTAACACCCTGCCGCCTGCCCACCAGAGCCTGGACCCTCCAGGCCCTTCCCCAACCCTGACTCAATGGCTTCAAGATCTGGAAAGGCCAACATCTAAAATTATAAAGCTGGGAAAACTTCAAAAAAGAAAGAAAAAGAGAGAGAGGAATGGAGGGAGGAGAGAGGGAGGGAAGGGAGGAAGAAAGGAAGAAGAGAGAGGAGAAAGGAGGAAGGGAGGGAGAGGGAGTGGAGGAGGGAGGGAGGAGGGAAGGGGAAGGAAGGGAGGAAGACAGTGCCACCTGCTGGAAAAGTCAAACAGCAAAAGGCGAAATTATTGCTACAGTAACATTTAAAAAATACAGAAATCAAAACCATATGATAATATCAATAGATGCTGAGAAAGCTTTCGACAAAGTGCAACACCCATTCATGATAAAAGCCCTTGAAATTCTTGGGATACAAGGAACATACCTCAACATCATAAAGGCCATCTATGACAAGCCAACAGCCAGTATCATTCTCAATGGTGAAAAGCTGAAAGCAATTCCATTAAGATCTGGAACAAGACAAGGATGTCCACTCTCACCACTGCTTTTCAATATAATACTGGAAGTCCTAGCCAGAGCAATAAGACAAGAGAAAGACATCCAAGGAATCCAAATAGGAAAAGAAGAAGTCAAACTATCATTATTTGCAGATGATATGATAATATACATAGAGAACCCCAAAATCTCCACAGAAAAACTAATTCAACTCATCAATCAATTCAGTAAAGTGGCAGGATACAAAATCAACACGCAAAAGTCAGTAGCCTTCCTATACACAAACAATAAATCTGAAGAAGAAGAAATCAAAAAAACCACCCCTTTTATTATCGAAACAAAAAAAATCAAATATTTGGGAATAAATCTAACAAAAGAGGTAAAGGACCTATACAAAGAAAACTATAAAACACTGTTAAAAGAAATAGAAGAAGACACAAAGAAATGGAAAGACATCCCCTGCTCATGGATTGGAAGAATAAACATTATTAAAATGGCCATCCTACCAAAAGCAATCTACAGATTCAATGCTATTCCAATCAAAATCTCAATGGCATTCTTCAAAGAAATAGAACAATTATTGATGAAATTCATATGGAATCACCAAAAACCCCGAATAGCCAAAGCTCTACTGAAAAAAAAAGAAGGAAATGGAGGCATCACACTCCCAGACTTCAAACTATACTACAAAGCCATAATCATCAAAACTGCATGGTATTGGAACAAGAACAGACATACAGACCAATGGAATCGAATAGAAAATCCAGAAATAAACCCACAGATTTATGGTCAACTAATCTTTGACAAAGGAGCAAAGACTATGCATTGGAGCAAAGAAAGTTTGTTCAATAAATGGTGCTGGGAAAACTGGGTCGCTACATGCAAAAGAATGAAGCTTGACCACTACCTCACACCATACACAAAAATCAACTCAAAATGGATTAAAGAACTAGACATAAGACCTGAAACCATAAAATACATAGAAGGAAATATAGGCGAAACACTACGGGATTTGCATATCAAAGACATCTTTACAGACACATCACCCAAAGCAGTGATAGTGAAGAGAAAGATAAACAGCTGGGACTACATCAAATTAAAGAGCTTCTGCACAGCAAAAGAGACAATAACAAAAACAAAGAGAAACCCCACCAACTGGGAGAACATTTTTGCACCCAACACTAATGATAAAGGACTGATCACAAAAATCTGCAAAGAGCTGATGAGACTCAGCAACAACAAAGAAAATAATCCAGTCAAAAAATGGGCAGAAGAGCTAAAAAGAAACTTCTCTGAAGAGGAAATGCAAA